CTGAAAAACGGAGGAAGCGTCAAAGCAGTGAAGAGGAAACTTGGGATAGGCGAAAATCGGATGTATCCACTAAGGGACAAAGAAGGCAAAATAACTACCAATATGGGTAGGATAGTTAGAATAGCGGAGGAGTTTTACAGAGATCTGTACAGTAGCCGGGACAACCACTACTTAATACTATAAGAACTAGCAGTAACCCAGATGACACCCCACCAGTAATGATAGAAAAAGTCAGAAAAGCTTTGGAGAGCATGCAAATAGGCAAAGCTGTTGGTGAGAATCAGGTAACATCAGATCTGCTGAAATATGAGGACAGATTGTGTTAGAAAAACTAGCCACCCTGTTTACGAGGTGTCTCCTGACGGGAAGAGTACCAGAGTCTTGGAAGAACGCTAGCATCATCTTGATACATAAGAAACAGATGACAAGGACTTGAAGAATTACAGGCCGATTAGCTTGATCTCTGTAGTATACAAGCTATTTACAAAGGTAATTGCTTATACAAGCTATTTACAAAGGTAATTGCTAACAGAGTATAGAAAACATTAGAATTCAATTAACCAAAGGAAAAGGAACAAGCAGGATTCGAACAGGCTACTCAACAATCGGCCACTTCATACTATCAATCAGGTAATAGATAAATGCTCAGAATATAACCAACCACTATACATAGCCTTCATAGATTATGAGAAGGCGTTTGATTCAGTAGAAATATCAGCCGTCATGCAGGTACTGTGGAATCAGGGCGTCGATGAAGTATATATAAACATCCTGAAAGAATCTACAGGGGATCAACTGCTACCATAGTGCTTCATAAAAAGCAACAGAATACCAATCAAGGAGGGTGTGCGGCAGGGGGACACAATCTCCCCAATGACATTTACCGCGTGCTTACAGGAGGTTTTCAGAAGCCTTGAATGGCAACAGTTAGGGATAAGAGTTAATGTAGAGTACCGTAGTAGCCCGCGCTTCGCCGATGAGATTGCGTTGCTGAGTAACTCGGGGGACGAATTGCAACTCATGATTACGGAGTTAGCCAAGGAGAGCAGAAAGGTGGGTCTTAAAATGAATCTGCAGAAAACAAAAGTAATCTACAACAACCTCGGAAAAGAGCAGCGCTTCGAGATAGGTAATAGTGCACTTCAAGTTGTGAAAGACTATGTCTACTTAGGGCAGGTAATATCCGTGGAGCCGAACCACGAGATTGAAGTAATTAGAAGAATAAGAATGGGGTGGAGCACATTTGGCAAGCACCCTCAAATTATGACAGGTAGATTGCCACTATCCTTCAAGAGCAAGGTATTTAACAGCTGTATCTTGGCGGTACTTAGCTACGGAGCAGAAACATGGAGACTTACAAAGAGGGTTCAGCTTAAATTGAGGACGACGTAGCGAGCAATGGAAAGAAAAAATGGTTGGTGTAACCTTAAGAGACAAGAATAGAGCAGAGTGGATTAGGAAACAAACGGGGGTTAAGGATATCATAGCTGAAATCAAGAAGAAGAAATGGACATGGGCCGGGCATGTAGCGCGTAGACAGGATAACCGCTGGTCGTTAAGGGTAACTAACTAAATTCCCAGAAAAGGAAAGCGGGTTAGGGGGAGACAGAAGGTTAGGTGGGCGGATGAGATTAAGAAGTTTGCGGGTATGAATTGGCAGCTGCAAGCACGGGACGGGGTTAACAGGCGGAACATGGGAGAGGCCTTTGTCCTGCAGTGGACGTAGTCAGGCTGGTGATGATGATGATTATTATTGCTCAGGTCTTGCCTCATGTTCTACGAATTAATCTTCCGCCTTTTACTAAAGATTACCGTGGGGTGGACACTCCAATGAGCTATAGGCTAATTTTTGGGCAGGCCGCACCCGTGTGTGCGAGGCCTGACATGAACAAAAGTAGAAACAAACTTTGTAAGTGTTGCAGCTTGGGCTAGTAGGTATAACATAACGTCGCCACAGAACACCGCGCTCTGTTCTCGTGCTATAACAAGCGTCATATCGTAGGAACGAGTCGTGAATCGCGGTTAGGTTGGGTCACGTGGTAGGTGTCTGTGGCCACGCTGCGTCTACTGCGCCGTTAGTTTGCAGTCGATTTGAATTGATTTTGGCGAAACGCGCAATCCATGTGCTAGCGGCAATGTACGTGCCGGCACACCTGCAGCACCTAAGCTGATGGTGTAAGAGCGTCGCCAATTGGCTTATTTGTCACCCGCTTGCATAGAGTTTCATACAATAATACCTAGAGGTGAATCTGTCGCTAGTGTCTACGCGGGCTCATAGAGTTTCTCAAACTTAGCCAGAGGGCACTCTGGCGCTGCGATCGTTCGCGACCATGGGAAATAATGGGTAGTACACCCCATTTTGCCTTGTCTTCGTACTTGCGGGCGGCGAATCGTACTTGCGGCTTCGTTATTGCTGCGTTTCGATTTTGTTTGAAGTAAAAATTCAATCCTTTGACTTCGTGAACCAATTTTGAAAGGTAATATGAAAAAAATAGGGCGGTGAAGCGCAATCGCTGAATATTTGCTGAGTTTTGTTTCGTGAGAAAACAGCTTCAAGCCCTCCCATAGACACTAGCGCCAGAGTTCCCTCTAGTAAGTATTGTGGGAAACTCTATGCGCGGGCTCCTTCAGCGGCGCTTGTACCAGCTTGTAGAGGTGGGCGCCGAGGCGGTTTCGGCCGGCGGCGGCGTGGAGGTCGTTCCGAGTCGGCGGCGTCGTCAGTGCACGCCGGGCAAAATGATCGGCGGCGGCGCACGGGCCACTTTTCGTCGCCGGTGGCGTGGAAACCAACAGCACAAAAAAAAAATAGAACTACTTTACTGTGGTTTCCTCTGCTTGTTTAGCTGAAATTCAGTACTTTTAACAGTGATGCCACAGACAACAGCATGGAGATTAAGAGGACCGGCAAACGCTCCGTAATGATTTGTTTTCCAGCATACACATTGAATGTAAGTCCTTTCAGCACGGCCCGTTTGTTCACGTAGCTACACTGTATCACAAGAAATTTCATTATTTTACTCTCACAGCGATGCTGTTATATCTGCTATGTTTTTTTTCTTCGTAACTTACACTTTGTATTGTTCTTACTTCCAAGTAACTGTTAATATTTTATTCATTATCAAATGTACCACTTGCCTCTGTGATGCCTTCCGGCCTTAAGGCTACTATTAAATGAATGAATAATGGAGGATCCTCTTTTCAACGAGCAAGTAGGGGTAAGTGGAGCTCGTGGTCTTTGTGTGTAATGTACTGCTTTTTTTCTGGAGTAACAGACATGTGGGCAATTTATGTAGGTCACAATGGCATGTAGCAATTCATAAACACGCGAGAAAGGCACTGATTAGTCTCCCATGAGGGGACACTGCTGAGCGACTTATAATGCAACTGCTACAACGCAACGAACACAAAAAAGGACATGGAATATAGGACTACATGCGTTTTTTTATTTTTCCATATTTAAAGACTCCATTCTTGTAAGACACGTGGAGGTGCGGGTGGGTGGTATAGGGTGGAGCGCAGTGCTTGAGGTCTCGTTTGTTCGTGAGACCCCTTTTTATCTACATACCAGCCCATACTCCATCCCCCTTTCGTTCCCTTAAAAGAAGTGTTAAAACAAAATTTTGAAAGCGAAATAACCCGTCAAACAGATTTTTGTAGATACGCACATCATCTACGAAATGTAAACAAATATTGTCGCCCAGAACGTAGTCAAAACTAATTTCGAATCACGCGTCGCCCTACGGCATACTGGATATGCCTTCGTCATTCGGGTAAACAAACAACCACCCCCCACGTCACAAGTTTTGTATTGGCTGTTCCTGGCGAACCCTTGCGAGGGAAAGAGAGATAGACTTGTACGGGAATACAAAGGCTGGTGTTCGAGCTTCAGCAGCGTTTTTTGAAGGGGTCACGCATATCTACAACGCCAGAGAGAAGATCACAGGAGCGCCCACAAAACCTTCGTTGAAGAGACTTGTCGACATGGTGAGTCACGTGCACACGGTTTTGTACGCCCACCTAGCCAGTTAGCTTCGCACAAAAACTAAGATTCCTTTCCTCCATGCGCAAACCCCTCTGGGTGCCGCCTCATTCGGCACTCTGTGGAACCAAGACTTCAACAATTTACATCGCGCACTCGAGCAAACTAGCTTTCTAGCTGTGCGTTGCAAAAAAAGAGAGAGAGAAAGAGAGAGCGACATTTTTCGCGTAAATGCCTTTTGCTCATAGAGTCCAAAAAATAGGGCCTATTTATGACGCCCACCAGTCTTATCTCCTATCACAATGAGTTGGGGACGGGGTGGGGATGGGCGTAATGTACAGCTGGAAGTGGCGGTGGTCGTAAATTAAATGACTGCCGCAGACGCTTTAGCAACGCTTCAATGCGCAAAAGATCCTCTCTTTTCATCTTACTAAACTACCTCCATGCCTTCTCATAACCATAATTCTCATAATTCTCATAATTCTCATAATTCAGGACAGCTCATGCAACCACAACAACGGCAACAGAGCTTGCAGCGCTTCGCGCTGCGCTGCGTTTCATTACGACCAAAGCAGGCAATGGTAGACGATTTTCTGCGACTGCAAGGTGGCACTGCAGTCACTTCTGTCAAATCTACGCCGTGGTCCACACGAACAGTTGGTATTTGAAACAGCAGAAATGCTACACCATATAACAGAGAAAGGGCACCACGTTATATTTCAGTGGTTGCCAAGCCACTGTGGAATTATCGGTAACGAACAAGCTGATCAAGCTGCCCGATCAGCCCATACAGAAGACAACGACCAGTCAATACCACTCTCAAGGACGGACGCTGCTAGGAGGCTCCGCATTCTGGCTCGCCAACTCTCCATGGCTCTTTGGAATGAGCCTCTCTTTACGCATGCAAGATTACGATCCCTTGATCCAACGTTAAGCTGCAGCTTCCAACAAAAATTCGACGAGGCGACGCTACTGCTCTGTGCAGACTATGGTTGGGAGTCGCGTTTACCCGTGCGTACGCCGTCCGCATAGGTATGGCCGACACCGCCGACTGTGCACACTGCGGAGACGAAGAAACATTCGACATATCCTGTGTGACTGCCCGAAATACAACCTGAAAGACAACACCTTTCTAATAAACTAAACAGGTTAGAGACCAGACCGCTGTCAGAAGAAAGGTATACTGCTCCATCGTCATGACTCATCGTCACAGAAGAAAGCCGTGCAAGCGCTACTGGCTTCTTACGAACTACTGGCCAGTCGGAACGCCTCTGAGTGGACTGATTTTGTGTGTACGTGTGTGTCGGTGTTTTTCTTTTATTTATTTTTTAACTCTCCCTTTCTCTTTCAGCCCCCTATTCCCCAACCCCAGTGTAGGCTAGCATACCGGATACTAGCATCTGGTTAACTTCCCTGCCTTCCACTTTTCTCGTTTCTCTCTCTCTTCTCATAACCCCCTGCTCAGCTTTGTTCTGTGCTTGTCAGCTGTGGCAGAGGCGAGTTTTAGCTAATTCCACCAGCCTCACATGTCAGCTACTGCAGGCTTCCCATGAAAAGCAACCATGCACGTACAAAAATGTTCGAAATCTCCTTTCTTGGGCAAGAATTTAAAAAAAAATCTGAACAAACGTGAAAACTCCAATCAAAATAACCAATCATCCAATCACCACTCGTCACCACAGCGGCATAACATATTTCTAGGATGCTGTGAAGAGAAAATTTTTTGCCTTTATTAGGGGACATAGAAGGCAGCAGTGAACTTGGGTAATTTTTCTGTGGCCCTGTTCCATAGAAACCGGCTTTTTTTCTTTTAGACGCTAATTGCCAACGACTATATATTGCGCATTAGTGGGTGAATATTGTGTCTTATATGTGCTCGTGCTTGCTTACTTTTTTAGCAGCCCAGTGCTTCAAACAAAATATTTTTCATAAATCATAAACCTCACAGGTGTTTTTTTTGTGTGTGATATCTATAAAATAAAAAGTCAAGTTGCTTTGTATGAGTTGAACTTCGCCAATCGTGGCATAACTAATCATAAAAATGCTGGTAGAGCAGGCATCGATTATTTCTTCAGGCTTCATAGTTTGTCTCACTGAGTAAGTCTAGTGGCCAGGCGTAACAAACACCAACCGTAAAAAGAGGAGGGCTTAGTTACCCTTTCTACTTGAACCACGTCACCAGGTGGGGCGGTCTCATATAGAGTTACTGTACGTGTTATACGAACACTTAACCTTTGAGCAGAAGTCTATCTTCCCGGACAAAAGAAAATCAATTCGGAAACAGATATCGCAAACAATTGATTACCTAGAATGACGTTTATGCCCAGCGTTTAAAGGGGCCCTGAAACACTTTTTTGAGTAACCATGGAATTAATTCACTGGAAGAGGTTATTGCCTCACAACTTGAACGCCACAAAAATTTTAAGAATCTGTCCAGTACGAGTGGAGTTACAAAAATTTGTCACACGCTGCAATCGCATTCTCTCTTCTCTCGTTCCGACGAATGCGCTAGAAGCTAAGCAGGGAGAGGTGGGAGGGGCAAACAAAAAACGTCACGCGCGCCTAGTGACCTTGAGATTTTTTCTTTTTTTTTCGAATACGCGGTTTTTAGTGCAATCGCGCGCGCACGCGTGGACACGTGACGGCCTCCCACTGCAATCTCTACCGATCTCTATACGACCGAGCGCGCCATGTTCAAATCAGCCAATGGCTGACAGATGGGCATTCTACGTGTGATTTTTGAGCGTCTTACGTCATTTGTAGAGGGAAGAGAAAGCAATTTTGAGCTGACCTTGATAATTTATTGTGTATTCCAGGCCGCGTGCTATGGTATAACATTTTGCTCGCGTGTTCCCGGGAGCCTCTACTACCGATCGGCAGTGTTTCCTGACCATGCTC